GCTTTTTACGTCTAAACAACCCATCAAGCTTTCTCTCTCTCTCTTCTCTCTCTCCCCTCCTCCTTCCTTCTCTTCTTCTCCCCCTCTCCCTCCTCTCTCTCTCTCTCCCCTCTCCCTTCCTCCTCTCTCTCTCTCCTCTCCTTCTCCTCTCTTCTCTCTCTCCCTCTCCCTTCCTCCTCTCTCCTCCCCTCTCCCTTCCCTCTCTCCTCCCCCCTTCCCTTCCTCTCTCTCTCTCCCCCTCTCCCCTTCCCCGTCTGCTCTTCCTCCCTCTCTCTTCTCTCTCACCCTCTCCCCTCTCTCTCTCTCTCTCAACCCCTCTCCCTTCCTCTCTTCTCTCTCCCCTCTCCCTTCCCTCTCTCTCTCTCCCCCTCTCTCCCTTCCTCTCTCTCTTCCCCTCTCTCCTCCTCTCTCTTCTCCCCCCTCCCTTCCTCGCTCTCTCCTCCCCCCTCCCCTTCCTCTCTCTGTCCTCTCCCCTCCCCCTTCCCTCCTCTCCTCTCTCCTCTCTCTCCTCCCCCCTCGTTCCCTCCTCTCCTCTCTCTCTCCCCCTCTCCCTTCCTCTCTCTCTCTCCCCCTCTCCCTTCCTCCTCTCTCTCCCCCCCTCTCCCCCTCCTTCTCTCCCTCCTCCCCCCTCTCCCTCCTCTCTCTCCCCCCCTCCTCCTCCTCTCTCTCCTCCCCGACCTCTCCCTTCCTCTCTCTCTCTCCCCCTCATCCCTTCCCTCTCTCTCCCCGCCTCCCTTCCTCTCTCTCTCTCCCCCCTCCTTCCCTCTCCTCTCTCCCCCCGTCTCTTCTCTCTCTCTCTCCCCTGCTCCTTCCTTCCTCTCTCCCTCTCCCCTCTCCTCCTCCCCCTCTCCTTCATTCTCTCTCCCCCTCCCCTTCCCTCTCCTCTCTCTGTCTCTCTCGCCCCCATCTCCCCCTCCTCTCTCGTCTCTCCCCGTCTCCCTTCCCTCTCTCTCCTCCCCCTCTCCCTCCCTTCTCCCCTCCCCCTTCTCTCGCCCGCCCCCCCTCCCCTCTCCCTTCCTCTCTCTCTCTCCCCCTCTCCCTTCCTCTCTCTCTCTCTCCCCCTCCCCGTCCGTCACCTCCTCGTCCTCTTTCTCCTCTCTCCCCCCCCCCTCTCTCGCCCTTCCTGTCCCCTCTCCACCTTCCTCTCTTGTCCTAATTCCGTCTCTACCTCCTCCTTCCTATCCTCTCATCCTAACCCCTCTCCTCCCTCTCTCCCTCCCTTCCTCTCCCCTCCCCTTCCTTCTCTCTCGTACCCCCTCCTTCCTCTTCCCCCTCCCTTCCTCTCTTCTTTTTCTCGGCCCCTCCCTCCTCTCTCGCCTTCTTCCTCTTTCCCTTCCCCTCTCTTCCTAATCCTGCGCTCTTCCCCTTCCCCGTCCCTCTCCCCGCCTTTCTCGTCTCCTCTCTCTCCCTAATCCCGCGCCTCCTTCCTTGCCTATCGCGGCGGCTGGCAAGGCGCATTCCCGCGAACAACGCATCTTTTTAGAAAAAAGTGGGGAAATAAAGAACGAGCCACCCTGGGTCTCTCTCTTCTTTCTTTCTTCTCTCTCTCTCTCCTTCTCTCTCTCTCCTCTTCTCCTCTCTGTTCCCCTCCTCTTCTCTCTCTTTTGCGAACCCGCTTTCAACTGCTCTTTCTCTCCCTTTATCTCCCCCTCCTCTTCTCCTCTTACCTCCGCATCCTCTCGCTCTCCACAGATACTACCTCTCCTGTACCTTTTCTCCCTCACGTCCTTCCCTCGCTTCCTTCTCCTTTGCCTTATTCCCCTCCCTCCTCCTATTTCTCTTCTTCCTTTTCCCATCACCCTCGCCCTTCCCTTTCCCACCCTCCTCTCCTTTCTTCCACCTTCCTTTCTCCACCCTCGCCTCTTTTCTCCACCCTCCCTCTCCTTTCTCCCTCTCCGTTTTCCCCACCGCTGCTCTAAATTTACCTTCCTTATTCTTCCCTCCTTTTCTCCACCCTCTCCTTTCCTCCCACCTCCTCCTGCTCTCTCCTTTCACCCGTCCCTCCCTCCCTCTCCCTTTTCCACCCCTCCTCTAATTTTCTCTCTTATTCTTCTCTCCTCTCTCCCTCCCTCTCCTTTTCATCCCTCCCTCCTCTCCTTTCCCCCACATCCCCTCCCTTTGCTCCTCCTTTTCCACCCTCCCTTGCCTCTCCTTTTCCCCACCCTCCTGCTCTAATTTTCTTCCTTACTGCCTCCCGTCTCCCTCACCTCCCTCCTCTCCTTTCTCCACCCCCCCTGCCTCTAATTTTTCCTTTCCTCCTATTCCACCCCTCCCTCTCCCCTTCCTTTCCCTCCCCCCCACCCTCCTTCCCTCTCCCTTTTCCAGCCCTCCTCCCTATTCTCCCGCTGCCACAATTTTCTTCTTCCTATCCCCTCCCCGGCTCCCCCCCCCCCCCGCCTCCTTCCCGTCTATTGTATGGTGATCAATACGACTGGCATCGTGAAGGTCCTGTTTAAGGCCATAAGGTCGAAAAGTACCGTTGAAGAGGAGAACGGGGTATGACCTTACGGACAGGTGAAAGATAGGATCGTTTTTTTTCTAAATTTATATTATTCCTTTTGTTCCCTTCCTTCTCCCTGTTAAACCTTTTTCAGGTTTAATTACAATAAGCAACAAATAAAAAACAAAATAATAATAACAAAAACACAATCACAACAAAGACAAAAAAATAACTCCCTCCACAACAACCAAAATCTGAAACGAAGACAAATAAAGACTCTCACAACAAACAGAACAAATAACAATAACATGAACTAGAAACAAACAATAGCACAAAATAACAAAACAAAACAAAACAACAAGAAAGCAATCAGTAGAAAATCAAATTTCCTGCAAAGATTGGGTGGGAACTCATCTTTAAAAAAATGATAGGAAATTCATAAGCAATATTCTCACTCTTCCCGTCAAGGTCAGTCGAAGAGTTAATAGGAGAGGAGGAAGGAAGGAAGGAGAGAGTAGAGAGAGGGGGAGTAGGAGAGGTGCATGATGGAAGAAGGAGGAGAAGGCAGAGTAAAGGGAAGGGATGCAGTGGAGAAGGAGAGAAGAAAAAATATGGAAGAGAGAAAAAGGGAGGGAGAGAAAGGGAGGGGAAGAGAGGGAGAAGAGGGGAGTAGAGGAGGGGGAGATGGTTCGTGAGAGAAGGAAAGGATGAGAGAGGAAGGAGGAGAAGAAGGAGGAGAGGGGAGAGAAAAAAGAAAGAGTAGTAGAGGAATGAGAGGAGGTGAGAGAGGCAGAGAGAAGAAGGAAAATAGTGAGGAGAGAAGGATAAGGGGGGAGATGGGGATGGAGGAGAGGAAGGGGAAAGGAAGAAACAGGAGGGCGGCAGATGAGGAGGAGGAGGAAAAAGGTGGGAGGAGAGAGAGGGCGGGAGGAGAAGAAAGGAGGGGAGTGGAAGGCAAGAATGAGTGGAAGGAGGAGGAGGAGGGCCAGGAGGAGAGAAAGGGAGGGGGAAGGGGAGGAGAGGTAGAGAGGAGGAGAGAAGGAGAGAGGAGGAGGGAGGAGGAGGAGGAGGAGAGGAGGAGGAGGAGGAGAGTACACGAACGAGGCGAGGAACGAAGGAAGGAGAGACGAGATCGAAAAGGAAAGACTAGGAGTGAAGGGGAGAAGGCTTGAAGTGGAGAGAAATAACGAACAAATAGAACAAAAAAAAATACAACGATAATAATAATAACGATAACAATAACATAAAAACAAATAAACACCCAAATAGTGCGACAAGGACAATAACAACAAGAGAACTCTAACGCAATACAGAATAACGATAACCCTAACACAACAATAAACACACAAAACAAAACCGTACAACAACAAGAGAGCGAGAGCGAACAACGACGACGAACGTGGCCGCAGTCACGTGACTTGCGCCAGACGGGTAAGAGAGTACAGGGCTGGGAGGGATGGGAGGAGGCAGGAGGACGGGGGGAGCGGAGGGAGGAGCGGGGTTAGGTGACGATGACCTGAATAGATATATATACTCGTCGACTCCCTCTCCCCCCCCCACTCCGGTCATCACTCATTCAAGTTCATCCACTCTCGTCAGCAGTCAGGGCGATCGACAGCCGCCCGAGCTGCTGCGGCGAACGGTCTTGTACATTATCTTCTTAAGAATTTATTATCTACCATTTCATATTCTTTACTTATTTACGGTTGCATGATTGTGGGGTTGAACAAGGAGAGGGACAGGGTAGAAGAGGAGGGAGAGAAGAAGAAGTAAGGAAGAAGGGAAGGAGATAAGGGGAGAAGGGGAGGGAGGACAGGTTAAGGGGAAAGGACAGGACGGACGGGGGAGGAGGCAAGGGGAGGGGACGAAAGTAATAGGGCAGGGGGAAAAAGAAGGAGAAGAGAAAAGGGAAACGGAGGGCGGGAGGATTAGGGGAGGAAGGTGGAGGAGGAGGAGAATAGGACGAGGGGAGGGGGGGAGAGGGAAAGAGGAAAGTGGGGGAGGGGGGGAGAGGAAAGAGGAAAGTAGGGGAGGGAGGGGAGGAAGATAAAGAATGGGAAGAGAGGGAAAGGGAAGGAGGGGAGGACGGAAGATATGAAGGAAGGAAGGAAGGGAGTGAAGAAAGGAAATGAATGGAAAGGGGGACAGGAAGCGGAGAGAGAAAGGAAGAAGAGATGAAAGGAGAGAGAAAAAATAAATAAACTAAAGCTCCAGAATAGAAATGGAAAGAGATCAAAGCGAAAGAATTAGAAACCCCAAAGAGAGCAAAGGGAAAGAGGTAAAGAACAACAAGAATAAGAACAAGAAAGAGGAACGGAAGACCAATAAGGAAAGATTACCAAGAACAAGAAAGAAAAGGAAAAAGACAAGACCGTACAACGAATAGGTAAATGAGAACAAAAAAAAAAGGAACCAAAAAGAAAAAGAAAGAACCAAAAAGGAAAACTAAGAGAACCAAAAAGAAAAGCAAGAGAACCAAAAAAGAAAAAAACAAGCAAACCAAAAACATAGAAACAAGAGACCAAATATTTAGATAAGTATATATAGAATAAGAACACAGTCAGCCCAAAGAAAAGTCGTATACGACCTAAAAAACGAGAGACAGGAGGACGAAAAGCAAGAAGAACTGAGGAGACTCTCGTCACACACCCACTCGGCAACAGTTGCGATAATATACGACGCACGAGCATCTCTGCTCGTATCACCGCCACTGCAGGTGCTGAACACAGTCATTGACGAGCTTATGCAACAGCTTATGAGACAAGGTGCGGCTGCTGGCAGCTGATCTGTCCCCCCGACGTGAGCGTCGTCGCATGCAGTAATATGCAGGCTAGCGAGACGCACGCCTGCAATAGCCGCCGCAACCGCACGCAATCAACAAACCATGAGCAATCCCCACTAAGTTGCATACCAATGGAACCTATATCAGATACATCTATTCACCTGTCGAGAGTGCACAGGTAGGCACAGAGACGGAGATACAGGTATGGGGGATACGGATAGAAGATAGATGATCAACATAGATAGATAGAGGATAAAATAGACAGATATAGATATAAATAGGGTAGATTAGATAGAATAAAATAAGGATAAACAGAATATACATTAGGATAAGATATACAGATAAATATATGACAGATAATAATAGATGAGATTAGATAAGACATAAAACAAATAGATAGATCAAAATAGATAGATATGATAGATGATAAGATAGACAGATAGAAAGATAAAACTAGATAGAATACAGATAGATAAAATCAGAAATATAGTTAAGGAATAGAACAGATAGATTATAGAAAACTAGACATATAGAACAGATCAATACACAAGTATAACACATATAAAAAAATAAATGATGATCCCAACCGACAATCCACCAACAACAACGAACAACACCCCCGCAAAAAGTAAACAAACAAACCCGCACTATGCGGCCGACAAAAAATCACAAAACGCAAGAACGCCCTACAAAAGACAATAAAAAAACAAAAGAAAGACAGCTTACGCACACATAACGCAGCCGCCCATCCCTCAGTCCTTGGGCGTGGAGTGGGCGACTGGACAACACAGGGCGGTTACACAGGCGGCTGTTTGGGTTGATCGGAAGACCGGGCGAGAAATGAGGTGAGGGAGAAAGCCAACACAGGAAAGGGGAAGGAAGAGGGAGGAGGAAGGGAAAAAAGGAGAGGAGGAAGTCAAGAGGAGGGAGGGAGAAGAGAGGTGGGTAGGCGAGGGGAGGGAGGAAAGGAGAGGGGGAGGGAGGGAGGGAGAGGGGGAGGGAGGATGAGGGAGGGAAGGGCAGGGATGGAGGAAGAGAGGAAGGGAGGGAGGGGGGGGGGAGGGGAGAAAGGGAGGGAGGTGAGGGGGAGGGAGAGAGAGAGAGAGAGAGACGGAGAGGAATGAAGAGGATAGGAGAGAGAATGAGGAGGATGAGAGATGAGAACGGAAGGCTGAGTGTTTTAGAATGATGTTTGATGAGAGGGGAAGAGGAAGTGACTTGAAGAGGGGGGGGGGAGATCGGAGGGGAGGAGGAGAGGGGGAGGGGAGGGAACGATAGGGGAGGGGGAAGGTGAGAACGGATGGGGTATGGGAGAAGAGGAAACGGAATAAGGGGGGGGTGGAGGTAGGAGTATAGGAGAGGGGGAGGGGAGAGGAGAGAGAGGGAGGAGAGGAGGACGGGGGGAGGGTTGAAGGGAAGAAGCAAATGGGGGGGAGAGGGATGAAAGGTATAAAGGGAAGATGGAAGGAAGAAGGGAAGGGGAGGGAGAAGGGGTGGAAAAGAAGAGAAGGGAA